CAACATCACCAACATCACCACCATCATTATGTGACATCACCACCAGCATCATCATAATTACTAGTATTATAGCATCATCATCACCACCACCACCACCATCATCATCACCACCACCATCACTGCCACCGTGACGTCATCATCACCATTACTAGTATTATAGCATCATCATCACCATCACCGCCACCATCACCGCCATTATCATAACCATCACCACCACCATCACCACCATCATAATCACTGTGGTCACCATCATTGCCATCATCACCAACATCACCATCACCACCACCATCACCATCCTTCTGCTCATATTAACAGTGGCCAACACTTATTGAGCGGGCCCCCGTGCGCCAGAAGGTCAGCACATGACATGCACTGTCTCCTCTAACCTTTGATGACAATGTTAGGAGAGGTCAACGCTACTGTCCAACTGCGGCACAGAGCAGACAAGCAGGTTGCCCAGGTCACACAGCTAATATGAGGACTGAAGCCAGGCAGCGAGGGGCTTAACCATTATCCTAAAATTCAGAGAAATGTCCCAGTTATTTCACCTGCAGGGTGATTCCCGAGGGAGGGGCTTTCCGACAACCGTAGCGGCTATTCCTTGGAGCCTTAGTTCTGTGGGATCTCACAGTGCCCTAGATCACCCTCCCCCACCCCATCTGTCCCCAGGAATGCCTGTGCTCCAGGCAGCAGGAGTGGGACCTGCTGGTCCCTCTAACATCTCCCCACAGAAGCAGGAGTAGACCACACGGATCCCCAGCCCTGATCCCAGACACCTGTCCTGGACAGTGGACCATCTTAGGGGATGCTGGTAGCATGTCCTAGGCCAAATTCTGGGTTCAAGGTGTCCCCAGGAGCGAGTGGCAAGGCTGGGTGTGACTCAGGTGACAAGACTCTCAGTCCCCGGTGGCCGGTTCTGCCTTTGACAGCTGTGGCACTGTCCTCCGAGCCTCTCTTGCTGCGTGAAAGCAGCTGACGTGTGGGGCCATCCTGGGCACCGGGGGCCACTTTCCACACTCAGCAGTGACCTGCTGAATCCTCACAGCCACTGTCCAGAGGAGAGCCTTGCAGGCTCTGGGTTTGATGGTGACAAGGACATCGAGACCCTGCCTAGGGTCACAGAGTGACATGCTGTGGAGCCCAGACTCCTCCCCAGATGCCGCAGCCACCAAGCAGGGGCCATGCAGCTTCCCAGACCGCAGCCCGGGAGCCCACAGGTGCTCCTGCTGCGCAGCTCCCGAGAAGTGTGAGCAGCGGCCAAGCGCCACCCAGCGTGGGGCCAGGCCAACCCTGATGACTGCTGAGGCAGGAGGGGTCTGAAGGGGTCTGCAGGGGTCTTTCCTGCCACCCTCCCACTCAGAAGCTCATACAGAGCAGGAGATTACACCGCCTGCCTTCAGGAGCCCAAGAAAATAGCTCACTTGAGAGTCATTAGCCAGTCCTTCCCAGGGTCTAACTTGAATTACTCCTGCTTGGATCTAATTCAGTTAGGTAGGGCCAGCTGGACTGTGATGAGCCCAGTTAGGAGATCATCTCAGCCTTGCTTCTTCACCGTCTTCCCTTCGCCTTGACTTGGTGAAGCTGCTCAGCCCCTGATGAGGGCCCGTTCCCTTCTCTGCCGGCCGGCAGCGTTTTCCAGAATCAACATTTCTCTACATTAGAAGCAAACACACACATTTCCCCCCTTTTACGTTTGCTTTGCTAAACAAATTAATCTAGCACCAGATTATATTATGAAGAAGCACAAATCTTTCCTGAGATAAGCATCTGTCGCTGGATTAGCAGCAGCCAGTGGACTGTGGATGGGTTTGCTGAGCCCTGTGAGGCCGTCCTGGGCGTTAACTTTAGTAATAACGGATGTAATTAGGAGTAAAGGGAACCTGATTCCTCTTCCACGGCTACACAGCAAGTGGGTCTTCAGAGGAGGTGACGGGGGGCACCTCCTGCGTCTACTGAGGTCAGACTCTCAGAGCCTCTGACCAGAGCTACGGGCGCCACGCTGGGGTGGCTGAGGCGGCCCCCGGGCCCTCCAGGGAGCTGCCGGCTCCGGGCCTTGCCCTGGCATGGGGCTCCGGCTCCCTGGACAAGCTGCTGTCCAGGGGTGACACAAAGGCACAGACCGTCTTGTCCAGTGAAGGAAGAAAATGGTGAGCTGAAGGGCCAACACCGGCCACCCCACAAAAACCTGTCCACGGCTGCCGGCTGCCTGCCTGGCCAAGGTCAGGGAACCTCGCAGGACCCGTCCCAGGCCCTCGGCCCCTCCGCACCGGGTTGGGGGGAGCTCTCCGCAGCACTTCTCCTGCCCTGGATCCCCAGGAGCCCCAGGCGGGGTCGGTGGCGCCCAGACCTGGGTGTGCAGGGAGCCCTTCCCCCACGGCGCCTCCCGCAGCTGCTGCAGGAAGTGAGGGAGGCTGCTGCTGGTGGACGCCGGGTGCCAGGTCACCTGGGCCACAGCCTGTCGTCAGAGGCCCAGGAGTCAGGCACCAGCTGCTGGGGCAGGGACAGGCACCAGCCGTCCCCGGAAGCCTCCACCCGCGCCTGTCCGCAGAGCTTCAGCTGCCAGCCCTGGGCTCTTCCTGCCGCTCCTGGTCCTGGACCAGCTCCCCTGCGGGGCCTCGCCCCAGCCTTGGCGGTTTCTCAGGACTCCGCCAGGCCTCGCCCTGGCAGCACCAGTGTCCGCGTCCACTCTCAGGTGGATGGGAAGGAGGGAGGCCCCCTTTTCACGTCCACCTGCTTCCCCCATCCTGCTGACTGCCCGGGCGTCCCCGACACCGGACACCATCTCTCCCTGCGGTCCTGCGCCTGACCCCTGGCCTCTTCCTTTTCAGTCTGGCCCCCGTGAACCGCCCTGCACACCTCGGGGTCCCTCCCTCCCAAGCCGCACACACCCCAGCCCCCGGACAGACCCAAAGCTCTGTGGTGGCCGCCTACCTGAGGTCTCCCCCAGAATCCGGGGGGGCTTGCTGTCTTTCCCGTTGTTGCTGGGCCTGGGGGAAGGCTCCGTTGTGCTAGCCCCAGCGGGGACTCTTCTCCGGGGATCCGGGGAGGCAGTGACCCCCTTGGTCTGCAGCGTGATGGAGGTGGCCGTGGTGGCAGCGATGGTGGTGGTGGCCACAGTCGTCTTCCGTGTTTGTGAGATGGGGACCGTGGTGAGGCCATGCACGCCCGGGAAAGTGTTGGCCTCCGGGGCCTCCTCGTCCCCCGTGGGCCCCCAGGCGATGAACTCTGTCTCTGTCGTGGGCCTGCTGCCCCTGAAGTCGAAGCTACTGAGACCAGTGTCCTGCACGTGCCTCTTCCCCCGCCGCAGGAGACTCTGGTGCTCGGGGGCCCCTCCGGCCACCGCGGAGGATGAGGACGAGGAGGAGGAAGTGAGGGACGGGCTGGATTTGGCAGCAGCTGGGGGCTTGGCGAGCCCCCCTTTGGGCACGAGGGAGGCCACCTGGTCTCTGGGCCTATGGGCTCTCCTGGCACGGGGCATCTGCCCATGGGCCCGCTCCGCCCGGGGCGTCCGAGGGCTCCACACAGGGGCAGGGAGCCGGGACGGCTGTCCACTCCTCAGGCTCCACAGCCGCGGGGGCCTCTGCGGTGGTCGTGGCAGGAGCCGGAACTCGGGGCCTGGGCCCAGGGACTCACAGGACGGGAAATCCACAGCAAGCTGCAGCATGGCTATCAGGATCCAAGCATGGCTTCCAAGGGAGCGGCCCGGCCAGCGGATGGACATGGAGCTGCGAAGGAGAGAGAGGAGAGTGGTCAGCAGGGCGGGCAGGGCTCTGGCGGGGCCAGGTGGTCATCCTCCATCAGGACAAGGTCGTCTTGCAGGAGAAGCTCAGCCTCAAGGGCAAACCCCTCCCTCTGAAGGTCACTGGAGCACCTCCCTCTCCACCTTGAGAAGACAATGCCCTCCAGGTCCCCAGGAGCTGCACCCAGCCAGCTGACAACCACAGGGCCCATCTCATGGGGGGAGGACCAAGACCCAGTGGACCCCCATCATCCCCGATGTGATGACCTGATGACCTGCCAGTCCCCCTCCTTTTGCCCGTAATGACAGGAGGCACCAAGAGGATACAGACTGAGAACCACAGGACTGGCCAGCCTCCGGCCGGACTCCAGGCCCAGGTGCTCTCCTCTAGGAAGCACAAGAGGCTCACTGCCATTGGCCATCGGCTCTCCCAAGGCCTGGGTGGGACGAGGTCTGACTCGGGGTCACTCAGCCAGGCAGATGCCGGGCAAGGAGCAAACAGTCGGTGGCCCCTGAGCACCACCTGCATGCACTCTGCAAGGCCCCTGGCCCCTGCCCTGGCCCCTGCCGTGGCCCCTGAGGTGAATGTGACTGTCTTAGAGCTGCCAGGGCCTTCCTCCCTGGACGCCAGCCGCCCGGGCTGGGCCTCTGCCGAGGTCACAAGGGACCTGAGACCTGTTCCAGATAAGCTGGGGGTTTACTGATGCCGAAATGCTGGTCCTGCTGACATTTCCACCCCTGTTTGTCCCGGGTGCAGGTGGCCTCTGAAGCCCTCTGTCCACCTCCTCAGCCCCGGGAGCGGCAGAAAGCCCAAGCCCTGCAGAGCCTGGGGGGGGCCGAGCTGGGGAGGCCGGAGCTCCGGGGAAGCGTGGTGTCCACGGCCCGTGGAGCAGTCCCCAGAGAGCCCAGGCCTGAAGCCGTCTCCAGGAAGGTGGACGCTGGAGCGTCACAGGAACATCCAGAGCACAGCACAGAACCACGTGGCAGGCTGGGGGACGCGGGCCCACGTGCCCTCTCCCACTGCATGGATAACTGAGGACTGATTACAGGTGCCATTCAAACTCAGCTCTTGTCACACCCTCAGGTCTGAAAGTTAAAATGAATCCCCAAAACTCCACGCTGCTGTGGTGGGGGTGGGTGGGGCGGCGAGCCTCCGGGACACGCAGGACACTTTTCCTTATAGGTGTCATGTGACTTTAAAAAGGACGGGATTGGGGTGAGTGTGAGCACCCTGTCGAGTGTGCACACACATACCAGTGTGCAGCAGCGTGTTCATGCGTGTGTCAGTGTGTGTGCTGGGTGTGACTTCGACAATCCTGTATGTGCCTGTCACAAGGAAGAGACCATGTGCAGTGTGTGTGTCAGCATGTGTGGGTGTGAAGACGCGTGTGACTGTGTGTCTGCAGATGTGAGTCAGCCTCACGCACACCATGCCTGTGTGTCGGTGTGAGAGGGGAGTGCACTGCTGTGACCCGTGTGCCCCTGCATCTGCCCATGTGCACCCGCACGTGCCCACGTGTGAGACTGCCTTGTGCCTGCATGCCAGTGAGTGTGCAAGGCGTGTCCGGGAGTGTGTCAGTGTGTGCAACTGTAACTGGGTCCCAGTGTGTGCACAACCCTCCAGGGCCGAGGTCTCCTGGCACTTGGGAATGAGCTGGTCCCCAGGGGTCACTGAGATGTTGAGAGAAAGAACCTCACATTAATGAGCATTAATTATCAAAAAGGGCTAATCCCCAAATAATAAGGCCCTGGTTTTTTAATCAGAATCAAAGTGCTTTGCTCCAGAAATTAGGAAGTGTTCATTATGCTAATGCCTCTGCTCTGGGTTGCCGCGTTGTGCAATTTCCCTGCACAAGCAGCCGAGCTTGGTGCAGGGACCTGGGCCATCAGCACTGCACGGGGACATCTAGGTCAGTGTGAAAGACCCCGCACGTGCTAAAGGCAGCTCCTCTGGGGCTGCTGGTGACCTAGCGAGGGTGGGAGATGGTTGACAACACAGCTGGGTGGGAGTCTGCCCCAGGGCAATGAGATTCTGCTTGGAGTAGGTGCTGGCCCCTCCAGGCGCCTCCAGGCCCCACCAGGCCCCACCAGGCCCCACAGGAAGCCATGAGACCCTCCTCCCAGGCCCCACTAGGACTCACGAGGTCTTACCAGGCCCCAGGCCCCCAGGCCCCCAGGCCCTACCCAGCAAACTGCACTAAGAGCAAGCAAGGGCACAACTGCCACCATCCAGACTTGGAGAAATATCGCCCCAGGAAATTAAAACCACAGCACCTAAGCCTGGGCCTGCCTCCCCGGCATAACTTCACACACAGGATATTTCTGTGATTTTTCACCAATCACGGGCTGTAATTGGTTACCATAGAAACCCCTCATTTCCTAGACACCCAGCTGTTATGCAGAAAACCAGCCATGGCCACGTGGCAGGGGAGGTGGATTCGCTTCTCCCCAAGTCCAGCTTCTTCTTTTTAAAGTGACGCATTTGTTCAGAGGGAAAATAGAGAGCTGGTGGGCGAGTCAGGACCAAGCTTCCCCCCTCCCCGGCATCCAGGAAGCCCTGCGGGGACCTTCTCCCCCAGGAAGGCCCAGGCTGATGGCGTGGCCTGCACAAGGGCACCAGGGGCCCTGTACAGGGGCCAAAGGCCCCGGACTGTGCTTGGCCCCGGGCCCAGCCTGGCCCTGAGTGCTATCAGGAATTTCTTGGTCTGGAGAGCAGCACCTCCAAGGACCCTGAGCAGCCACGCCACTTCCCTGTGGCCCCAGCCAGCTCTGAACCAGGCGGAAGCCCAGGATGCTCTCTGACCTGTGCAGGGCTGGACGCCCCCAGCTGCTCTCACTTCATGAGGAAGCCATCTTGGAGGGGCTCACCCAGGGAGGGACCCTGGTGCTGTCAGCCATGCACCAAGAGGTGGGGGACCCCCACACCCGAGGAGGGAGGCCCCGCAGCACGGCTGCCCTCTGTAGTGGCCCCGGAGGCAGGCAGAGGTGGGGTCAGCTTCCCCAAACTCCGGACCATCCACAGACCCCTTAAGAACATGTCACGGCCTCACACCCACAAGGACAGCATCCAGCAGAAGGTGGAGAGTGGTCAGTGCTGCAGGGGGCGAGCCCGTCACAGCGGTGGGAATGCACACAGGTGGCAGGAAGCAGCTGCGTGAGTCCTGGAAACAGTTAGCACTGCCCAGCAGCTCCACTCCCAGAGGCCCACGGATGTTCAAGGCAGCACCTCAGTGACCCAGAGAGAAAACTGCCCCAGCGCCCATCCAAGCGCACAGCTAGGCACAACAGAACATTGTTCAGCCATGGTTAGGGCAGGAAGACTTGGCCAGGGACAAGGATGGACCCTGAAAATACTGCCCTCGGTGAACCCAGCAAGTCACATTGCTGCGCATCGGCTGGTTGCTCCGTGCAGAACGTTCAGAACAGGCAAATCCAGACAGGAAGTAGGCTGTGGCTGAGGGTGGGGAGGACGGGAGCTACTGGGATTGATGCGGTGGCTGCATAGCCCTAAGAGCATCCTCAGACGGCTGGCCTGACTGCTTCCTAGGGTCCACGTGACACACGTCCATCAAAACTCAATACCAAGAAAGGCAACGGGCAGAGGAGGGGTGTGTGCAAGGGTGCTGAGGGGCCAAGGTGGGCACGTGCCGACCCTGGACCCTGACCTGCAGACACTGCCACCACGGGCAGCCTGGACCTGCAGGTTCCTTCCCGCAGTGCTCACTGGGACACCAGGAAGGAGCAAGACGCCCTCTCTGCTCAAGGGCAGCACCAGGCCACGCCCTGCAGGGCCCGGCCAGGGTGGGCTCGCCTGGCAGCCTCTGATGGACACTTTTCTAATGAAGAATGACACCGGCAAGCACCCCGTGCCCAGGGGGAGCTGCCCGTCTCCCCGTACTTTCCAGTGTGCCACAGTCCTGCTCTCCTTCCTTCTAAATTCTTACTGAAATTTCCTTTCCCCAAGAATCCTTTAAGAAGACCCAGAGAACTGAGATTCAATTTGCTGCCTCCGTATGTTCTATTCACAGAAGAAAATCACTGTCAATCAAGGGAGACAAGGTCAGCTCTTCACCCAGGGTCACACCTTACAGAGACCTGTGGCTAGCAGCGAGCATGGGCCTTCTGAAGGCTGCTGGTCCCTCGCATGCTGGGGCACCGGGGCAGGGAGGACCCAGCCTGGGCGAGCCCTGGGATTGTGCAGCCAGGGGCCACCTCAGAATCTGCAAGGTGGGACGAGACCTCAGAGCCCTGCAGCAGGTGGCCGGTCCACCCAGTTCTCTGTGGATTCCCTCTCCCCTGCCTCTTCACGCCCTGGCCCTGAGCCCCTGTGAGGTCAGAGCTGTGTGTTGGGGAGTCAGCCAAGCCTGGGCCTTCTGCTTCACTCCGCCACCCCCAGTGTGCTGGTCCTGCCCAGGGGACAGCTACAACAGGTGTCTGCTCTCCTTCCCTTCTAAGAAGACCAGGTGCCTGGGATCGACAGTTCTCAGGGCAGAGCTAGGAACAACCCGAGGTGCGCTCAAGGACTCGGTGCGCAGCACAGACAAGTGTTGGTCAGTCCGTCTTCCTCTGTGGAGTCCCCACGTCTGGCAAGGAGGACCCTCACCTGGTGCACAGGACTCACCTGGGAAACTTGCTGGTCCTACTACCCAGTCCCCAGGACCCTGTACCCAACGCATCTGGACTGCCCCCCACCCATTTCATGGAGCTTGCTAAACAAATTTTTCATCTTAGAATAATTTTTACACAAAAATAAGAAGAGTGCAGAGAGTTCCTGGGACTCAGCTCCCAGTCCCACTGTGGGTCATCTGGGTCCCTGTGTACCTGTCACAGCTCAGGGGCCAACATCAGGACAGCTGGCCGCGTGCTCAACCACACAGCTTGCCCAGATCTTGCTAGTCCACCACGCATCCTGTGCCTGGCCCAGGTCCCCACCCAGGACACGTCACCTCTGTCTTAGGGCTCCTTGGGATGCTCTCGGCCATGACA